CAGTTAAGCTTTTATGCTGCTTTCCTTTCCACTAGTATATGAAAAAAGGAAAGCATAAAGCTTTTTAATTCTGGGCAAGCCAGTTTGTTACATCTGCATGTGGAAAAATGTGATTGTATATTTTCCCTTTATTATGCTAAACATATCAACAAAAGAAAACTTGCAAAGTATATGTGTTATGTGGGTGAACAGAGCAAGGCACACTCATGTTGCTTTGTCCCTATGTAAAAATCTGTTGAAATTATCTCAGTGGGAGGTCACTAAACATGAGAGATTGTTAGCAGACTCTTGCTGTCTAAGAATGGTTGCTAAGATGAAGCTGTGCAATGACTCACTTAGCTACATCTGCTACTTGCCAGAGGTATTTAGGCTCTAAGAGGACCCCCAGTTTGAACACCATCTGCAGTATGGGGATACCTTCCTATTCAGAGCCAAACATGACAAGTCCCCAGCTTCGAGAGCTCCCAGAATCCATAGTCACTCCCCTTCCAGGCTCTTGCAGCCTCCAGACACTGAAAAAGTATATTGACCGCACCACTTGGCCAGCCAGAGGTAGAGATGTTAAGTTCATTCTCTTATTTATCTGAAACACACACGCACAAAAACACACATCCCACATATAAATATAACCCTCAACAAACTGCGGATCATCTAGCAGTGGAATATTATCTATATACTTACTAAAACTCTCATGTCTTTTCAATTGGGTAAAAATCATAGGGCAACAATTTTTTAATCAAGTAGTTGAAATGGACTTACAAAATTACAGTATTCAAAATACAGGGCCTATTATTCCTGTGAGATTGAAATTTGGAAAAGTGACTGCTTCAGTGCTGTGGTGGTCAGTGGCTTGCCATTTTCAATATTCCTTGGCAACTTCCCATAATGAGAGTCAATGAGGAAGCTGGCAGGAAGTTGGAAGCCACAGCCCCATGGCTGCTCCAGGTGGGAGAGGGAGGGCACAGGGGGCAGGGAAGGCACAGTGTGGGTCAGGGAGGCTATGAGAGGCCTAATGCAGGTTAAGAAGGGCACAAGTGAGGCACAGCAAGGGTCGGGGAGGGCATGTGACTGTGTGCAGGAGTGAGAGGCCCTGTATGGGTTGGGAAGGATGAGATGAACTATATGGATTGGAAGGATGTGAGAGTTGTGCCAGTCAGGGAGGTTGCATGGGATGCATGAGGGATGGTATGTGGATCAGGAAGGCTGTGCAGGAGTGAGGTGCAGGTTGGCAAGGTTCAGGGTTAGGGTTAGGTTAGAACTGCAGTGCAAGTTGTGTCTATGTATCTGCAAAAGGTGTAATGTGTGAGAGTTGGGGAGGGTGTGCAAGGGTCCGCTAGTGGTAGGTAAGTAAGTATCTTTGAAAGGATGACCCACCAAGTCATGTGTTTCCTAGTTATCTCTCTCATCTATCCATCCATCCATCCATCCATCCATCCATCCATCCATCCATCTATCTATCTATCTATCTATCTATCATCTCATCTGTTTTCCCCTCAAAACCAATAACGTCATTTCAAATCCATGATCAGAAATTGTGACTGAACCATTTTTTGTCAATTAAGTTAACCTTAGATTAAGATACTAAGAGGTTTTGTAATCCTGAACATGCACTATGTAGGTGAAAGTATGTCCCTGCTTGTTTAAAATTAATGTAATGAACAGACGGAAGCCTTTTTACATAAAATAAATCTTCCAGTAATCTTGGTTGCCCAATCAGGAGACCTATTAACCAATGAGATAGGTTATTTACAGAATGCTATACAGAATGCAGAATAATAGAGTTGGAGGGGACCTTAGAGGTCTTCTAGTCCAACTGTAGTGGTACTTCTTTATGTATTCGCATTTGTGTGCTTTCAAACTGCTGGGCTGCTGGCATTCCTGCCGACAAGCCCAATGTCTTAACTACTAAACCACCGTGCCACCTTCCTCCCCTCTATGACAGCCCCTCAAATAATGGAAGATTGCTATCATGTCACCCCCTAGTCCTCTTGGTTGGACTAGAAATTCCAAGTTCCTGCAACCATTCATTGTATGGTTTGGCCTCTAATCCCCAAATTATCTTTGTTGCTCTTCTTTGCACTCTTTCTAGAGTCTCAGCATCTTTTTTTTATTGTGGTGACCAAAACTGGACTATTCCAAGTGTGGTCTTACTAGTGCACTATAAAATGATACTAACACTCCATGTGATCTTGATACTATCCCTCTTTTGATGCAGCCTAGGACTGAATTGGCTTTTTATGCAGCTGCAGCACACTGCTGGTTCATACTTAAGTGGTTGTCCACTAGGACATCTAATTTCCTCTCACAGTTACTGCTGTTGAGCCAGTTATCACTTATTCTATACCTGTGCATTTGGTTTTTCTTGTCTAAGTGTAAAAGGGGCGTTGTCTTACCTGAACGCCTTTTCTCAGCACGGAGATGGAGGATCCACCAATGGGTTGAGACTGTATTCCTGCCCAATCAGATCAAGTCAGCCAAAGTTGTCACGCCCGTCCTGGACTCTAGATCCCAGTCTTGACGCGAGCGTAGCCATTGACTGACCAAAGACGTACTGGCTCATAAACTAAATACCCTAGTTACTAGGAACCCCCATAAACAGAGGGAGGGATGTGGATCCTCCATCTCTGTGCTGAGAAAAGGCGTTCAGGTAAGACAACGCCCCTTCTCCAGCACTGGAGATGGAGGATCCACCAATGGGACCTACCAAAGCCTACAGTCCCTGAGGGTGGGAAGCAGACCGGTCTGGAGTGACACTTTGGTGTACTACTTGTTGGAGGACCCTCCTGCCGAAGGAGGCCTCCGCCAAGGCAAATTTATCAATTTTGTAGTGACGAATGAATTGTGATGGTGAGGACCAAGTGGCCGCTCTGCAGACATCCTCAATGGATGCTTGAGTGGCCCAGGCTGCAGATGTAGACGCGCTCCGTGTGGAGTGAGCTGTCACCCGTCGTGGAACCGGCAATGATTCTGCTTGATATGCTCCTGCGATGCAT